AGTTTCAGAGAGTTTGAGAGCAATTTGATATTTAATAAAATTGAATGTTTTTTGTTTATCAATTTGAGTAAATTGTCGTTTGTAAATGTCAAAGAAAGTATCGAACCATGTTTTGAATTGTGTTAGATGATCTTTAAGAGATGGGATTTAAAAAGTTTGAAGAAATTGTTGTTTCAGAATGTTAAGGGATATGTTGATGTTGAATTTATTGTCATTTTGGATTTTAAAGAGAGGTTGGTTAATGCTGTCCTCACTAATGAAATAATGAAGTTTGAAGAATATTGGATAGAGTTTGAGATCTTCATAGAATTTTTTTGTATTGATGGTTTGGTATTTGTTATGAAGAATAAGATGTAAGTATGTAAAGTTTAGTGCAACTTGCATTCTATAGTTATACAAACTTAATAAATTGGTTTTCATAACATAAAAAATTTTAAAAGTGACTCAGCAATCCGACTTTTCAAAAAATTATATATATAAAATACATATAAATTTTTTTGAAAAACTCACACAGATAGTAAAATGACCCAGCTGATTATGAAAATCAATTTATTAAGTTTGTATAGTCTAAGTACAAAATTTTATCTAATTTATATAATTATGATAATTAAAATTTGGCTATATACTTAGAACAACTTTCTTTAACATTCTTGACATGAAAAAGTAAAAAAAGACCAAAAATATATGACACTATTATATATATGTAAATGATTCCCAGCTCACTATCAAAAATGGTACTATCACATGATGATGATTCTTATCACCAAAAATGTTACTGTCACGTGATGATGATCTTCTTAGGTCGACCTGTAGTACAATTAACTTATATGCTGTATAACAAAAAAATTATGGAATAGAGTTAAAAGGGCTAAGCTCATTTTGGCTTTCTATTAACCAAGAGTGCATGAGTATTGTGCATAAAACAGTTTTTTCGCAAATATTAGCCCTATCACTAGTGATTGTAAAACCAGCTTTTGAGAATGCTCTTTCACTAGAAACAGATGAGAGTTTAATACTTAGAAAGTCACAAGCCATTTTGCTAAGTATTGGGAATCTTGATGACAATGATTCTCAGAGTTTTATCTTATTATTTTTTTCTATTTCATTACTATCATCTAAGTCTTCAGGAAGTTCACTTTCATACAGTTCTAACTCAAATTCTATTGTATCTATTTGTTTTCACCTTTTTGCAGTTCTTCTTTTAGGGAATATGAACGTAAGATTATCATTGTTATTATTATTATCAACTTCAACATAATTTAAAGAACTTGTGCTAGAATATTTTGCTCTATATGTAATAAGTTTTTTGTGAATATCATTGACAACTATTTCTGCATCACAATCATTATAACCACTGACTTCAATTAGTGTTGCTTTCAAGTGATCCAACTTATATCATAGATCAAGAACATGAGTAATTATAACATGTTCGAGAATAGATTTCCAATATTTTTCAAATTTTTTGGTCATTAAATTATTATTAATATTATTATCCCTAAATTTAGTTAAGTGCTGTCCAATTTCCAATATAACCATTAATGCATCGGAAATTGAATTTGACTAGTCTTTCGAAAGAACTGATATGGCAATTTCAAATGGTTTAAGGAGCTGACGAAAGGACTTGAGAACTGTCAAGCTTTCATCGTCTAAGCAAGTGGGTATTGATGGTTCTTTAAAGCTCATCTCTTGAATTGCCAGATGCAAATAAAGGTATCTCTCGAACATTGCTAGCATGAAATTCCAACGTGTATTAATTTCAAGAATAGGCTTTAAAAACCTTATTCCGGAAATTCTACAGTATGATTCTAATACTTCTAACCTATTACTAGCTAGAGGATTAGCCAAGAATTTCATGATTTTATAAACCTTTTTATGTAATATACTGATTCTTTCAAACCCTTTTTAACAATAAGGTTAAGGATGTGACATATGCATCCTAAAAAAAAAAAAAAAAAAATTAAACAGATAAAAAAAATTAAAAAAAAAACATTAAAAAAAAACATAATAAAAAAAAAATTTAATAAAAAAACATTAATAAAAAAAATATTTTAATATTATAATAACCTATTGATATTAATTCTTTATCAGATAACTCATTTTGGAGCAAGCGACTTACTGCTTTATTAGTAGCAGTGTTATTCATAGTAAGTGCCAATATTTTATTTTCAATAGAGTAATTTTTTAATGTGCTCATTATTACTGATGTTATTTCTTTCACTGTTTGTTCTAATTTTTGAAAACTTAGAACAATATTAACTATTCTCCAATTATCACTAACCCAGGATCCTGTAATGACAATATAATAGCACTTATAAATAGTTGAGTACTATTCATCACAGGTAAGTAAAATTCATTCAGAAGTTTTGGCCAATATATTCTTAACAAAATTTAATCTCAAATCAAATATATTGCCTATAAGGTGTCGTGATATTGTGGTTGAATGTAGGATTCTATATAAATGTGTAGCATAGCAAAGATTTTTAGCCATTTTAAGAAAAAATAGATTAATGAGTATATTGAAGGGCATTCCTGTCACAACAACCAAGTCTACTATTGAATTATCTATGTCTTTATTAGTAACTGGTTTGAACCCTTCATTCAGAGTTTTACCTAATAGAGAATTAGAACATATCACAGTATGGTTTTTTAAATACATTCTACTAGTTTTTATTGCATAAGTCTTTTCATGACAATGTACGCATTTCCAATATTTTTTATTATCATTACCTGTTATTTCTATCCAATTCTCTCTAGTATTATATGTATTACCAATTACTACTGCTTTGTTATTATTAGATGTTAAGGTACTGGAAGTTACTACTGCTTCATTATTATTAGGTGTTAAGGTACTGGAAGTTACTACTGCTTTGTTATTATTAGGCATTAAGGTACTGGAAGTTACTACTGCTTCATTATTATTAGGTATTGAGGTACTAAAAGTGGAACCATTAGGAATTACTGGAAAATTTTCCATAACAAGATATAATAAAAAATAATATAAAGGAAGAATATAGAAAAAGCACTGTAAGGTAAAAGTATAGGCAATGTAAGTCAAGACAGAGAAAATATATAAGCGAGAAGATAAAAAAAAAACTTATACAATTTTCTTTCTTTTTACTGGCGTATTTACAGTTATTTATATAATTTTTTTAAATTCTTAATTTGACATTTAGCTCAGTCATATCTAGCTCTAACATTTATCCAATAAATACTAATTTAACACAATCGTTTACTGGACTTTTTTCATTAATTTTAATATTTAACATATTATTTATTCAGGAACATTACAGGTAGAGTCTACAGATGCCAGGCACGGGCACTATTAAAACATAGTGCCAGGCACAGGCACCATTTTTAATAGTACGTGCCCAAACCCTAATTACTGATTGAACTCTAGTAAACTCTATAAATCATAAACTTAAAGAGTATTTGCATTATTTGATCAATTTAATTTATTCAAATATCAGAGATAAGACAATTGTTAATTTACTTCCTTTTTATTATCATTAAAGATTACTTCAAATTTTATTATTTAATATTAATAATATATCAAAATAAACTGGAATTTACAAAATGAGTCTGATCATATTTTTAAGAATGCTTTCAAGCATAAATATGATCATTCCTATTTATTGTCTGGCTATTGTTATAAAGTGTCTCATTGATCACCCATGACTCGCAAGTGATCTATAACCTTCATGCAATGAATTGTCATACTAAACTGACAATTATTGTATACATTGTAAAATTTAACCTCAAAATTATTAATGCTTTTAAGTATGAAATGTAAGTAGTTATTCATTGTTGGGTTATTACTAGTGGAATGTCTTATAGTTTGTCTCATAAAGCAAAAAAGATAATTATAAATATGTACAAGCTGGAGATCAGAATGCATATAAAATAAGAGATAAAATCTAAAAAGAACCCCTAATGAAAAATAATAATTTCAAAATTTATGATAAATACGAAATAAGTATGTATATTATAACTGTTTTTGCAACGTGACAATTTATGAGACAGATCATGGATCACTTATAAGTTATAAAATAACAATTAATTTTAACTGTTTAATTTGTTAAAAAACAGTTAATAATATTAAGAGATTGTCCCTTGCTTTATTTAGTACAATTTGTAATAGCATATTTTAATTAAAAATTTCTGTTTATAAACACTATACCAATTGATGCTAGCGCATTGAATTATGCAGGACAGAAGTTAATAAATGGTTAGTCACAAATTACTTTTAAATTATAATGATTATACTGCGCTGATGTTATTGTTTTAAAAAGAGCATAATTATCAAACAATGAAAAAATATTAATTTATTAATTAATTCATTAAAATTATTAAATATTAAGTAGAGTTTAACTGTCGCCCTGTATTAATTAATTCGTTAAAATCATTAAATATTAATCAGGGTTTAACTATCATCCTGCACCTGAATCTCCAGTAAAAAATTTCTACTTTACAAACACAATAAAGTCGATATACTTCTAAAACTTTGCTGGACATAAGTAATATATGCATAATACTTATTAATTAATTAGTCTTTACAAATTAATTTAATAATTTAGATTATCGCTAAGATGAGTTCCAATCGCAAGGTAGCTGGTTTGAGTTATACTGGAGGACAAAAACCATACAGGGGCCAAAAACGAGGAATGCTTCTACTATCAAATTAGAAATTTTTATCAATTATTCCATTTATTCGAAAATTATTATATGATAAATAACAAAATTTGATTGGCAATAATTTATTATTTTATGAAAGTATTTACTGTCCCTGACTGGAACAACAATTTAAGATTAGGAAAAAACCTTCAAAAAGAATATTTTTGAATATTATGACTAGGGTTATAAAATTATCATAATTTTATGTAATTTTGTATAATTTTGCGTAAGTTTATAGTAACATAGTTTTTATGTAATTTGTAATTCACGTAATCAGCTAAATTTAGCTCAATCATATGAGTATATCGGCAAGCTTTATCTGAAGTTTGTGCAAATTATAATATAGATGCATAAAATATGTAATCATAGAGTAGTAGTAGTTAATATTTGCATAATTCGATAATGCTGACTAAGCTTTTATAATGCTGGTACTTTATATCACATGAAATGAAATTTACATGTAATCCATGTTACTGAAATTTATGCAAAATTACGTGAAATGTAATATTGTAAAATGTAATTTTCAACTCTAATTATGACACGTCTGAAATTATGGCATGAGTCAAATGTTACAGCATATGTCAACATTATGGCATATTATCAAATTATAAAATATAAGATGCCTTGAACAAAGTCACAGAGCATTCATTTGTTATGAGATCACAACTAGAGTTGTTAGATGAAATTCAGGAGGTTTCACAATTGCAAAAGGCAAAACTAATTTTGACTTTTACCAAAAAAAATTAAATTGGCAAAAGGTAGTGAAATTGGCAAAAGTCAGCAAAATTGGCAAAAGTCAGTAAAATTAATGAAAGTCGATAAAATTGGTGAAAATAGTAAAATTAGAAAACTGTAAAAATAATAAAAAAAAGTTAAAACTCTTTAATGTAATTATTAACTTTTCTATTTTTACTTGTTCAGTTGTTCAACTTTAAATTTTTATATACAATTACATAGTATGTACC